CCCCCACCCCACTCACGGTGGATGTCTGGGGCATCTCCCGTCTCGAAGAAATCCTCCTCGTGGTCGATCTCCGAGTATTTGCTCAGGGAGCGTTTGTGGGCGAAGGACAGGACCTCCTGCAGGATGTCCATCTTCCTGAGGATCTTGCACAACCCGTGGATCCTCATGGCCTCCTCGTGCTTCATGATGGCTTTTTTCAGGTGAGCTTTGCCTGCCAGGGAGGGAGGGAGCAGAGGGATCTCGGTCGGTCGGGAGCGGAGTGGCTCCGGCGCCGTTCCCGCTGCCTACGGATGGGGAGCAGCTTCCCCGGGCTGTGACACCCTGAGTGACTCAGGGACAGCCCAGTCACGTTCCCAGCCTGCTGGGTGCTCTAAATGGGGCCGTTCCCAGCCCCTCAGCTCAAGCCCTCCATGGAGGGCTGGGAAGGGACCTTGAAGGGTGACCTACTTGGCTCCCCCGGCGCCGGAGCCGGCAGATGTTCCTGAAAACCGGTGTCGTGCTGCCCCCAAAGTCCCTTCTAAAGCTTAACCTCAATCTCCTCCTGCAAATTAACTTCTCTCCGTGCCTTGCCTCCCCTGGGAGCTGGGAAGGTGGAGAACAACCCAGCCCCATCCTCCTGGAACAGCCTTTGGGGAAGGTGCAACAACTCTCCCTGTTTTCCAGGCTAAGCCAAGCCTTGTCCTTGCTCTGCAGGTCCAGGAGTGGGAACGCAGAGAACGACCCGGCCCCGTCCTCCCGGCTCAGCCTTTGGGAAGATGCAGCGGCTCTCCCTGTTTTCCAGGCTGAGCCAAGCCTTGTCCTCGCCCTGCACGACCTCTCTTCATCCTCTTCATCACCTCTTTGCTCCTCCCCACTTGCCTTCCACAGGTTTCGACCCTCCTCGGGAAAAGGATGCGGTGGGAAAACAGCCAGAGGAGCTGAAATCATGGTAACCCACGGATATCAGAGCAAACATCTCCTCTGCCACAGACTGCAACCAAGGCACCCGTTTCCAAGGCTTAAACTCCCAAAAAAAGCTCTCTCCGGGTGCGTACGCGTCGCTTGGAAACACGTGGGCCTGGAAAGCGTCTCAGGCTCCGGACACAAGGGGGCAACAGAATCCAGGGAGAGGATCCAAAGATCGGCTTTGCTCCAAGCTCCGGAGAAACGCAACCCGTGCAAGTTCTAACGGAGGGAATGTTTTGGGGTCGGATGGAAAACAGAGAGGAGGAGACTTCCCACAAAAAAATCGGTAGCAACGGTATCAGTTCTATTTTAGCAAAGCACTTGATGGGAGCGAGGAACAACTGTGGAATTATGGGGGATAATAATAATAATAATAATCATGGAGTT